TAATTTTTTGCATTTTTAGTAGAGACAGGATTTCACCAAGTTGGCCAGGCTGATCTTGAACTCCTGACCTTGGGTGATCCACCCACCTCAGCCTTCCAAAGTGCTGGGATTATAGACATGAACCACTGAGCCCAGCCTTTTGCCCATTTCTTAATTGGATTATTAAATGTTTTACCTATTGATTTGTTTGAGCTCCTTATTATAGTTTGGTTATTAATCCCTTATCAGATGAGTAGCTTGCAAAAATTTTCTCCCATTCTGTGGGTTGTCTCTTCACTTTGTTGGTTGTTTCTTTTGCTGTGCAGAACCTTTGTGATGGATTATTTATTTATTTGAGATGGAGTCTCTGTCATCCAGGCTGGAGTGCAGTGGTTCGATCTCAGCTCACTCAACCTCCATCTCCTGGGTTCAAGTAATTCTCTTTCCTCAGGCTCCCGAGTTGCTGGGACTATAGGTGCGTGCCACCACGCCTGACTAATTTTAGTATTTTTAGTAGAGATGGGGTTTCACTGTATTAGGATGGTCTGGATCTCCTGACCTCATGATCCGCCCACGTTGGCTTCCCAAAGTTTTGGGATTATAGGTGTGAGCCATGCACCCGGCCGGATTAATTACTTTTAATTCTTGTGATGTCAGTGAAGTTGGTCCTGATTATGATTGGCTTTTCATGTGGCTTGAGTCCATAGAGAATGAGAAACAAAGTAGGGTGACCAGAGTAATCAGGTTAATGTGACAGCTTTATTTATCACTGTAAATTAATAACCCTGTCTGCTAGTGTCTGGTTCAGTCTTTTGTGCATTTGGAATTTCCAAATTGAGGCTATCAGTGTTTGTTCACCGTGGATGTAGAAAGCAAAAATCTGGATTACACTGGATTACACCACATTCCTGGGATCTGAGTGGTGAGGTAGATAGGCCTGCCCTTATACCACCTCTGTCTACTTTCTTATTCATACTGGGTTTTTGTTTTTTGTTTTTGAGACAGTCTTGCTCTGTTGCCCATGCTGGAGTGCAGTGCATGATCGATCTTGGCTCACTGCAACCTCCACCTCCTGGGTTCCTGCGATTTTTCTGCCTCAGCCTCCTGAGAAGCTGGGATTACAGGTGCATGCCACCATGCCTGGCCAATTTTCTTTTGTATTTTTAGTAGAGACAGGGTTTCACCATATTGACCAGGCTGGGCTTGAACTCTTGATCTGGTGATCCGCCCACCTCATCCTCCCATCAATCCCAAAGTGCTGGGATTACAGGTGTGAGCCACCGCACCTGCCCCACCCCACCCCCCCCGCTTTTTTTTTTCTGTTTTTTTGGGACAGAGACTTGCTCTGTTGCTCAGGCTGGAGTGCAGCGGCACAATCTTGGCTCACTGCAGCCTCTGTCCCCCAGGTTCAAGTGATTCTTCTGTCTCTGCCTCCTGAGTAGTAGAGACTACAGGCGCCTGCCACCATGCTCAGCTATTTTTTGTATTTTTGGTAGAGATGGGATTTCACCCTGTTGGCCAGGCTGGTCTTGAACTCCTGACCTTGTGATCTGCCTGCCTTGGCCTCCCAAAGTGCTTGCTCCTTCTGCCTCCTTTAGCTTGAAAAATGACTTGTGCTTTGCAGTGAGAGAATGGCCTTATTTTCTGCATTTTTCTTTGTAGCATCCATTAACTCAGTCTATTCTGATAGTTTCTATGATGATCACATTAATTGTACTTCTATTTTTTTTTTTTTTTTTTTTT